GTGAGCCGAGATCGCGCCATTGCACTCCAGCCTGGGTAACAAGAGCGAAACTCCGTCCCAAAAAAGAAAGGAAGACAGAAAAGAAAGGAAGGAAGGATCATAGTGCCCCGGGAGGTTGCCCAGCGCGCAGACCCTGGCGGCAGAGGGCGTCCCCGCAGCGCTGCCTGCGAGACCCCGCCCCACCCCGCCCCACCCCGCCCACGTCCTGCCCAGGGTGCGCCTGGAGGCGGAGCCGCCCGCGGAGCTAAATGGGGAGAAGGCCGAGCGGAGGAGTCCCCGTGCCGCCGCCATGGAGCAGTCCCGCGCCGCCCCCCGCCTGCAGGTCGTGCTGGGCCACCTCGGCCGCCCGTCGGCCCGGGCCATCGAATCCTTTGCGCTGCGCGGGGCTCGGGCTGAACTTGGCGCCGGCGCCTGCGTGGTGGCCCCCGCCTGGGTGGAGGGAAGCCACTGGGGCGCACGCATCCCGGCCCCGTGGCCGCCTCAACGCCGGGTCCCCGCTTGGGTCCCGACTCCGGGAAGAGCGGGTAGGAGGCTGCGTCCCAGGAGGACACGCGTGGCCGCCTTGGGCTCGGGGCTGGTGCCGCGTCGCGCTGCCCTCCGGGATTCCTGGGGGCCTCTGCTCCTCGCTTTGTGGAGACGGAGCGGTGGGAAGGTTGTTTCAGCGGCCTGAGACCTTGTGGGCTCGGCCGCGCGTGACCCTCGCCGCTGCCCGGAGACCCAGCGATGTCCAGGCTCACGGTGCACAGGCGCGCAGGGCTGCCGTGAGGGAGCCGGGGCAGGCGAGACGGGGCCCTCCCGGCAGGAGCTGGCGGCCTCCCGGGTGGCGTTCCGTTACCTCCCTCCTGGACTACGGCCTTATCACCGAGTTATATAAAAACACTATTAAGGGTTTGAGGTCTGGCGCGGGGGCACGTGCCACGCCTGTAGTCCCGGCGCTTCGTCAGGCCAAGGCCAGGAGTTCAAGGTTACAGTGAGCCTTGGTGGCCAGTGCACTCCAAAAGAGAGGGAGAAACAGAGAGAACCAAAGGGTTCCATGTTGATTGATGAGAGTGACATTCCAAAAGTAACGGATTAAGGGAAAGAAACAAGGCGATCCTGTCAACAATCAGCAGTTACTGGATAGAAAAGAGATCTTTAAAAGGAATTTCTAGGGTTTTGCTTTTTTGGTTTTTGGTTTTTGTTTTTTTGAAACAGGATCTCACTCTGTCACCCAGGCTGGAGTGCAGTGGTGGTGCGTCGGCTCACTCCTGGGCTCAAGCGATCCTCCCACCTCAGCCTCCCAAGGAGCTGGGACTGCAGAGTGGCTCCACGACGCCTGGCTCTCCTATTACAATTTTTTTGTTTTTTGAGACGGAGTCTTGCTCTGTCTCCAGGCTCACTGCAATCTTTGCCCACTGCAACCTCCGCCTCCCCTGCCTCAGCCTCCTGAGTATTGTTTTATTTATTTACTTATTTATTTTCTGAGATGGAGTCTCTTCCCTGTCGCCCAGGCTGGAGTGCAGTGTCGCAACTGGCTCACTGCAACCTCTGCCTGGCAGGTTCAAGCAGTTCTCCTGTCAGCCTCCTGAGTAGCTGGGTCTACAGACATACGCCACCACGCCTGACTAATGTTTTTATTTTTAGGAGTGATGGGGTTTCACTATGTTGGTCAGGCTGGTCTCAAACTCCTGACCTCAGGTGATCCACCCACCTCGGCCCCCACAAATGCTGGTATCACAAGCGTGAGCCACCGGACCTGACCTAATTTGTATTTTTAGTAGAAACAGGGTTTCACCATTTTGACCAGGCTGGTCTCCAACTCTTGAGCGAAAGTGATCCACTCACCTGGGCCTCCAAAACTGCTGGGATTACAGGCGTGAGCCACCGCGCCTGGCCTTCTGCATTTTACTTTACTTGCCTTAATTCACATCCTAGGTAGGTCATCCCACTTCAGGGACTATTTCCTCTGCCAGTTTCCATCCTCAACAATTCCAGTAAGTAGGTTGAATTTTAATTTTGAAATATGTATGTAAAAGTTTCTTGAGTGGTAATGAAGATATAGTATATAATATGTTACCTGCTTAGAATTTTATTTTTTAATTTATTTTTTATTATTATTATTATTTTTTTGAGATGGAGTTTCGCTCTTGTTGCCCAGGCTGGAGTGCAATGGCATGACCTTGGCTCATCACAACCTCCGCCTCCCGGGTTCAAGCGATTCTCCTGCCTCAGCCTCTCTAATAGCTGGCATTACAGGCATGGGCCACCATGCCTGGCTAATTTTGTATTTTTAGTAGAGATGGGGTTTGTCCATGTTGGCTGGTCTCAAACTCCCAACCTCAGGTGATCCACCTGTCTCGGCCTCCCAAAGTGCTGGGATTACAGGTGTGAGCCACCATGCCCAGCCCTAGAATTTTATTATATAAATCCACTGTTTCCAGGACTCATTCTAATTAGTACAGTTGTGGAAAATTTTGAAGACTGATTTTCTATATGTATTTTAAGAAGGAAAAATACCAGAAAATACATAATCCAACATCTATTTACTTATTTATTTATAATAGAGGTGGGCCCATCCTATGTTGCCCAGGCTGGTCAAGAGTTCCTGGGCTAAAGGTGATCCTTCTACCTTGGCGGCCCAAAGTGCCGGGATTACAGGTGTGAGCCATCACGCCCAGCCTTATAATCTGACTTTTAAAAATTCAGTTATTATATATCACATTTAAATTAACTTGTGGCTGGGTGCTGTGGCTCATGTCTGTAATCCCAGCACTTTGGGAAGCCAAGCCAGGCAGATCACTTGAGATCAGGAGTTCGAGACCAGCCTGGTCAACACCGGAAAACCCCATTTCTACAAAAATACAAAAAGTAGCTGGGCAAGGTGGTGTGCGCCTGTAATCTCAGCTACTCAGGAGGCAAAAGTGGAAGAATCGCTTGAACCTGGGAGGTCAAGGTTGCAGTGAGCTGAGATCATGCCACTGCACTGCAGCCTAGGTGACAGAGCCAGACTCCATCTCAAAAGAAAAAAATTAGCTTATAATTTGGTTATATGGACATATTAGCTAGCATATTTGGCTTTTCTTAAATCATCTTTAAAGGATGTTTTAAAGGGGAGATCTTGACTTTCCTAAATATTCTCATATAGCCATAATTCTAATCTTAAGGAATAGGTTGGGTGATTTGAGTTTATGAGTATGCTGTACATTTATTTGGATTTTGTTACTTCACTTCTTGGAGTGAATCAACTGGACAGTTTTTAAAAATATAAAATTGAGCCGGGCGCGGTGGCCCAAGCCTGTAATCCCAGCACTTTGGGAGGCCGAGGTGGGTGGATCAC